AACGAAGATGAAATTGAGATTTTTGTGAAATTAAAGTGTGTCTGAACATAGTATTAGCTTAACATTATTTAATTTAACTAAAATATGATGCTAAACTTTAAATGGTAAATTTAAATGGTAAATTTTTTTCTCAAAAGAAAAATTTCGTTTCGTTTTTAAGAAAAAGCATTTGACATAATTAAAAAAAATAGTGAAAATAATGTATATATATTTTTTCTTTTTATTTAAATGCTTGCAATTTTCCCTTTCCATATTGAGTTTTGCAATAAAAAAGATATAAAATCAATCTTATAGAGAAATGCAACCATGCGTAAAGATTTATATTCAATCCATTGATTACTTTGCGAATTTTAAGGACATAAACATACAGAAGTTTGATTTATTTAGTATATATGTAAAATAAAATTGCCAACTTTAGATATAGTTTTCATATTTATTTACTGTGTCGTCAACATTACAACTAAAACGTTTAATACCCCGTTCAAATAATTTTGATAATAATTACAAAGTTTTTTTTTAATTATTACTTTATTTTCGTAATGGTGTGTTTATTTTAATGCAAAAACTAAGAACTTAAGAATACTGCTTATATAAAATTATAAAGCAGACATTTTCTTTACCCCACAACAACTGAGTTAGCTGTTCTCCACACTTATTAAAACTTAAGAATAATAAGGATTGTCACTAATTTCAATAAATTATTTGATCAATAATCAGGTATTTTATTCATTGTGATAAGCTATTTTATATCTTAACTATTCCAATGGCTAACTTCTTGCCAATCAGCTATATATGAGTTAATTAAGTTTATCGTGCAAACTTATTATTGATAAAAAATCAAACCAACCCAACAGCCTGAAGTGAGCATGCTGTTTGGTTAAGATATTGAGACACCATCAAAAGCAGTCGTAAAACCTGGTACTACCGTCGTTAATTACTGTTTTGTTCTGTGCTATAATCTAAAGTGGAATCAATAAAAGACAACCTGCGCTTCGAAACTTATTAACAACAAACACTTAGTAGTACAAACAAAGTACAGTTAGAGGTCCTTCATGTTATCGAAGTTTTCACTAAATTGGGCTAGTGTAGACTCTTTTTCTAAATTAATAAACACTTTAAATTACTAAATTCATTTCATTTATTCTTCGGTATTAATATTTTTTTTCTTAGAATTCCATTGGGTTCACGAAATTTGCTGTTTATTAGCATATCAACTCACTGTTATTATCATTCCATTTCCACTTTATATTAAAAGTCAGTACTGTTTTCATCTGACTGTAAAACCTTGCCAGAGGAATAGATACGAATATGTTAAAGTCGAAACGTCTAAAAAGTTTTACCTTTCAAATTTACTTTCATCTTAAATAATAAAAGAAAAAATGTCCAATTAATTTCTTAAGATCATCACTTTAAAACTTACACGTTTGAATATCAAGTCTAAAACTCACCACACGTCATTCCACGTTTTTCAAATCATCAAAATTCACCGAAAAGAAGTGTTCCTTAAATCATCTTCAACTAAAGATTTCACTTTATGATAACTAGATCAATTTAAGTGAGGTGAAAATGATAGTAGCTTCCTTCGTGATGTGATCAATGTATTGACCATATCAACGTCTTGAAATGAAGTTTTCTCCAAAAGAGACTTGACCCGTCTGTATTATTTTTCGAAGGACTGAATGGTTTATTCTTTTATGTGAAAAAACGTTCCAACCCACAAAATGGTCTGTGGCATTTTGAATTTATTTTTTATGTCCATTGTATAGCAGAAACCGAATATGTTAAAATAAGATATTTTTGAAACTTATGTAATGTTCGATCTACTTTTAAAATATATGATATGATAAAAGTAAAACAGCAGACAAACAAATCACTGGCTCTGAATAGTGGGTATAGAAAATAATAATGTAAATGTAAACTTACAATAATAATTGTTGCAGAAAGGTTTGAAATGATAATATATATAATTCAATCTAGTACGACAGAGAAAAAATTCAAAAATGTATAGTCAAAATAATAAGTTTATATTTTATTTAGTTTTTTTTTTTGTTAACAGATCAGTTTACAAATATAGATATCCTCCAGATATAATCGTATTAAAAATTGAGATTTATCTATTTAACAATTTTAAAAGCAAAATTGTTTTCGGAAGTAATTGGCAAATTTGATATATATTGGCATAGTCTAACTTCATTTAAATGTAAGTATCTTTGCTCATATTTAAAATTTAAATTGTATCATATATCTGTAATATAGGGGATGGTGAAACAATTTTATTCCAACAATAGAAAAAAAAATTTATTTAATAGTTCAGTTGTTATTAAATTTTTCGTATAGTCCCCTGAATGCATTTTTTTCAATGACGCTCTAATTTTCTTTAGCGATCTATATTAAGCTATGAATCAATGTCTTAATCAGAGCAATTTTTTAACCTCTCTGAACAGCACATTGCGTTATAGTCTGAGCGCATTCTAAATTTGCTATATAAATCCTGAACTTTGTTTTAATCTTTCAATAATTTAGAAGTATTATGAAGAATACAAATATAATTTATTGTATTGAAAGAGGATGTAAATATAGTTGCTGCAAATATGTCAGCTTCTTTTTTAACTTTTTATTATAATTAAACCAATATTTAAATTATTATTGTCGGCCTGTATAATCACTTAACACAGTAATTGAAATGTACTATTTCTTCAATAGAGTAACTAGCTGGAGCTAAAAAATCATTTGATAACTCCTTCTTAAAAGTGAGTATCTAGTACAGTTCACTATAAATTTTAAATAATCTTTATACATTTAAATTCGGGATAATCGAAATGCTTTAATCCCACTATAAAGAGAAATATTTACAAGTTTTTCTTCGAGTAATTTTTGAGTACCATTTGGAAACTCATGTTTGTGATATAGTATTGTTATTAAGGGTCTATCATAAAATTTCGAACGTTTAACTTGACTTAATTTCGTTAAAAAATCTCACACAAGGTCCTTGATGCGGATACTTCCACATAATTGACAGTGCAACCAATATACAAAAAAGATTCGACTCATGAATTTTTATAACTCCTGTTTTTTTTTTCAAAAATATGCCAAGTACTGATTTAATGACATGAATTTTTAAGTATTTCAAATTTTAAAATGAAATTACATTACTTTTATGAGCTTCATACAAAATTTTAAACTGCATTAATCCTAAAATATAATTTTGTTAATTTTTTTTTTAGTTTAGTGTTTGTCTTTCGTGGAGCAGTAATTACCATGCCTGTTCGTAATAGACGTCGAGTCCGAAATTGTAAACACACATATGATACGACAGATACTTCTGATCCGTCATCTGATCCGACATCTTCTGAAGAAGATGGTTCTTATCCCAATAATTATTTTCCCGTACAGAATATGCAAGTATATGAACTAACGCAAAACCATAAAATATTGGAATGGTTCATATTCATAGTCTTTGGAATAATATGGTTTTTTCTGAAATTTTGGGAGCGAATATCTGTGGAACATGAGGAAAAAGATTTTCGATGCATTACAATCACATCTTTCTACAGTATAATGTTGTTCTTTGCGATAAAGAATCGACCGAATATCAATCATCATCCCATTTGGCAACACAAAGTGTCTATTATTTCATTACACATAGTCTTTGTAATGCTGATAGTACAGTTTCCTACATACTTTGTTTGGTTTCATGCTTTGGAGTGGTTACGTGGATTTAGTGCAGTTATTGGACTTAGTTTATCCAACGTTATGGGTTCGATCTTCAAGCAGAGTAGACGTGATGTACACAATTGGATTCAAGAAAATTCTTATCATATGGTCACATATTGCTTGTTATTTTTAATGTGTGGAATTCTCATTATACCAGTTGAAAGATTCACAAATTATTTACAACAGAAATTAGTGAAATTTCTTTATGATACATATGAACAAGAAATTCAGCGGGAACCTTTACAGAGAGAGTTGCGTTAAGAATGCCTTTCGCATAACTTAAATGCCCACCTATTGCGTTCAACTTATTCACTCTATAGTTCTGATTTTATCAGAATTACAACAATAATCAAAAAATCTTGCTTGTTAACTTGTTAATTTGGATTAACTGGACAGTCTACAGAGATGGTTAAGTTGAGTGCGAAAATAGATTAAAGATATAACTCACGAAATAAAATCTAATATTCGATATAACAACGCTGAAGGATCGAGTAATTACTACTAGTAAAACTAGTTTATTAACAATCATTAACATTTTTAATGCTAATACCTCAATTCAAACTACAATTAGGCACCTAAATTTTATATGAAATTCTATGAAATTTTTGAAATAATAATAACCATATAATAAATTTTGAGTTATTTTTATTACGCCAAAAAAGATTTTTTATTTATATGGTAAAAGATGGGATGGTAAGTAAAATAAACGTTCAAGCAAAACTGATACAATTCTTTCATACACACAACATGGTCGAATCAACGTTAATGCTTGGATCATTATTCAGTTGACATTACCGATAGTGCAATACGCCGTATATGTCATATATAATTATATAGAGAAATTATATATACTCTTAACAGTCTTTAGATCTTTGATTGTGGCTTTAGATCTAACATTAAAAATATGTTCTTAATATATCTATAAAATCAATATAAAATTGTTGGTCTTAAACGTTATGCCGGATACCTAATCTGTTCTTTTAACAGATTTTATAAAAAAGTTTTTTCACAAGCTTTTAATAAATTTTGTTTTTTAATAAAATGTTAATTGAAGTTACGGATCCCATATATAACCTATACATATTATATTTAATAACTCGATAAATTAAATTTTAGAGCTGACCATATACCTATTTCAAGTATTGCCAAATATCCATCATCAGTGATCTTGGAATTATTTTTTATATTTAATTATTCGTAAATGATTTTTTTTTTGAGACTACAAGTACCAGGGATTGAGTTCGTACCCTGCCAAATTGGAAGAGTTCATTAACCAAATGGCCGAACCAAGTAAAGGCTGAACTTGACTTGTATGTTTGAACTTGGATTTTTTTTTTTTTTTTTGTGAAATGTTTATTCTTCAAAATTTTTTCAATTCACATCTAGAACCAACAATAGGCATAATATTTTGCAAGCATTTTGGGGATAAAATATCGCCTTCGGGTAGCAACACTCAAAATTTTACCAAATGCTTTGTTTCATTACATGACAAAGACACATATTTGAAAATTTTGGTATATTGAGAATTTATAGGTATATACATATATAGGTATATGCACAGCAGAGAGGAATTTCCATCTGTGGAAATAATAAATATATGATTTCTATTTTCAGAATTTTCGTTTCTCAGTTTTATTAATTGAAGTCCTCTTCTGCTACACATATAGCGGTGATAAAATAAGATACAGATTTAAAAGGACAAAATGGCTTACGATATCTAAATAAATTTTTAATTTCACTTTAAAATTTCAGTGCGATGTTTTCATTTAAAAATGATTTTATCCAAATAACTGGATAAAATTTAGGATCTATTATAAATGGCTAACTCAGATAATCACTCAAACATGAGTCATCCTTGCCCATATTCAGTAGCTTCCACCAGACAACCCAATCAGTGGTTTACTATCGCTTGTTGTAAGTACCGAGTGATTTTATATCATTGATCACCTTGTCCTTCCACTAAAAATGCGGATGTCTTCTCACGCATTTTCCATCACAAAGTCCCGAATGAAATACCTTTCTACACAGAGCATTTTAATTAATTCATACAACATTAAGTAGCAAGCGGAACCACTAAATTTTTATGCACTCATTTATGTCATTGCTGCGGTATAGCTCATATAGCTCGACGTTTCATCTAACTGCGTACATTTTAACAACACCTATGCGACCATAGATATTCCAAAGCTTATTACTCTAGAACCTCTCTCATTTTTTTTACCACAGTTCGTTATTCTTGAAGCTCCTGCACTATAAAGCAGAATTAGCATGATAAGAGGCTTGTTGTACTTAATTATTGTCTGTACAGAGAGTGATTAATTTCTTAAATGCCTGCATAATCCTTAGTTATATCTATTAGCTAAAGCAATTTTCATTGAATCTCTGGACTGTCATCATATTCGGTGTTTATATTGGTTCCCAAATAAACAAACTCTTTACAACAATAGTTGTCTACAGTACCGTGGGTTCCACGATGCTCAGGAGATTTGTTTATTAACCGAAAGTACTTTTTTGCTAGTAGGCTTCTGGACCATGAACAAACTCTTCACAATTTCGAGCTTATAGTTGTCAAAAGTGACGTGGATACCACGATGCTGAAGATAATTATTCATTGACTGAAAGTACTTTATTTGCTAGTACACTTCAGGACCACAAATTTGATATCTCCTAAAATTTAGTGATTGCTTTTACAAAGAAACAGTATTGGAAGAAACCGGAATCCAATTGGAAGCACTTTTCCACTAATAGATAGCATAATAAATAGTTTGTAATACTTCATTTTAGTGTTACTACAAATTGTTGATGTTGTTTATAAACTATAGTTAACAAATATATTAAAAATAAATTACAATATTTGGGTTAATTTATTGTAACAGTTATCTCTCCTAACACTTACTCAATTTTATTTGTCTCTTTCATTTGCAACACACCCCACTAATATAATAACTTTCAAAAATAATGTATTAACTCATTAATATCCAATAAAATTTCTAAATTAAACACAATTAGCTAACAGAAAAATTAATCAATTAAAATTAGGTAAAGTATATATTAGCATTTTACTAATAATGCCAATGTCATTTATTAGGTAAATTTATCATCCAATAAAATGGATATTAATTTTCCAGGAATTTTCCGTAAAACAATATAAAATGAAAATAAAACAACATTTAAATAAACATAAAACACTTAATATACAATAATTTATTACTTGAGCACGGCATTCAAACTCCAGTCCCAAAAAATGATGCCATCGCAAAAGCCATCCATCGTCTCCGCGCCAAAATCAACAAATTCGTATGCGTCAAACTGAATAAATCAAGGAGTAAATTTCGGACTAAGCGTGAGTGTGTGTGTTTGGATGACATTGCAGAATAATGAATAAATTATGGCTCGGGAAAAACGGACATAAAAGTAAATATCATTAAAAACACATAAATACCGCAGTTAATATAAAACATTGTGGACAAACATAATCCAAAATTCCAAATGTTCACATTACCGAAAATGAAATTAGAATTTCAAATAGAAATTTCATATAACCAATAAATGTAATAAGTTAACAAGGGACAATAAAAACAATATGAAGAAGTACTAGAGAGGACGTGTGTAATAACATTTCAGTTGACGAAAGTTTTATAGTCAAAGTGTTTGTTAAGTTCGATTCGCAAGATATATTGCTATGTAAATAAAATGACATCTTGGTTTGAAATAAGGTGGCATCATCGGTTTAAAGTATTGAAATGGAATATTATGTGGCTAGTTATTATATAGTTGCTGTATTTGCAGCAATCTTTGATGAAAGCAGCAGCTCTGAATAAAATCAAATCAAACAGACGTGAATCTTAAGCATATAAACGTCATCAAATCCCTACGTAAGGTTAGATTATATCGGCGATCCGAATGGAATCACTTAGAACTAAAGATCCAATGTATTACCGTATATAAAAAACATTAGAGGTTTAGAACCACAATGAGCCTTTGGCAAAGCTTATAATGCTATTGAATGAGAGGTTTTGCAGTTTACCATCCTTAAGAAAGAAAGCCGCTAAAGAAGTAAGGCACCGCGCATGTGCGGAGCATAAACAAAACAGATGGGAGACACTATCAACGTCCCATCCATAACTGTGATAGTTATAATTGAAAGGGTGATTCAATCTTCTGGTTGCCTAAAATGCAGTGACCTGTGAGTAAAGCTAACACAAGACTGATAACTCTATAGGACATCTCAATGAGAGAATTGGATATCCTTTCATTTTTACGTGACCAAATTGCCTACATATCGTTGAGTCTTCCCGTCTCTTATTAAAAAGTATGGCACAGGAAGAACTCAATGCCAGTTAACATGATGTCAGCGGTATGCGCAGATTGTGTAAGTGTTCTGAGTGTTTTCCTGAAGCACCCCGGCTAGCTCATCTGCTTTACAATTGCCGAAAATATCCCTATGACCCCAGATAAAAGAAATATTGAACTGCCCCAGCAGCTCGTTGAGAGATTTGTAACAATCAAACTCTGCCTTATATGTAAACTGGACTGAACTCAAGGACATCAAAGCACCTCGGCTGCCTGATAGTATTAAGTGTATAATCTACTTCCAGACAAGCTATAACCTCCTTAATAGTGATATCCTCTGCTGAAAAACACTACAGTTATCTGTAGAAATTCAACATTTAGTTTTTTATTAAATTTAAGAATGGCATTTACACATCAAATGTTCAAATTATCACCGTTTCAAATTGAATATAAACTTTAATCAGGTTTGAGAATTAAGTGAAATCAGCCCTAATAGTATTTTTTCTTTTTATTTGAACTTTTTCTCCTATCGTTTTTATTAATCTAAAAGAAGTGATATCTAACGATAAAACATCGCATATTACTAAATAGTTGTATATATTAATGAGAAAGGGATAGGAAGGAATAATAATAGAGCAAGTTTTCTTAAGAATATGACAAGTTCTGTAACATTCCAAAATCGACTGTGTATTCATTTCAATTTCGTTATTGTGTGCAACGAGCACTTTTTATAAAGATAAACTTTATTGCATTATTTTAATAATATAAAAAAATATTAACATTTTTTGTGTTTATTTCATATTTTGGTTCTGGTCAGATTAAGTGTGAAGTATGGCTCTGAGTTCATCGACAAACGAGTCGCACGCTACACAAATATGATTATGCGGAGTCATTATTCCTTCGTAAAAAATAACTTTCTGAGCAAATCAACACTAATATTTTTTTAGAACTGATCTTGGGTCGCAAAATCTATCGTACCGAAGAGTTGATGGGGTTTGCATCTGGTATCTATGAAAGCCAGTATAGCATTAAAACAAAATGTGGACCATTGTGTTTTAATACTTGTTGATTAGCGCCAGCTTTGATGACAGAGAAAAATCTTGTCAAAACATCTACACTCTTTTATCAAAGTGTTTAGTTACTGATGACTTTATAACGCCTTCATCTTTTTGTAGATATTTGCAAATGTGTGCTCTAACAGTTTCAATTTGTGTTTTTCCTTCAAATATAGCTTTGTTATACAATTACATTTAAACAATTACATTTAATCAACAATATTTTTTTCAAAAAATATAAAGAACGAAATCAGCAAACATAACGCGGCTGCAATCTTCCACTATCATCCGTAAGAGAGGTTTACAGAGGTCTAAGAGATGGGTACAAGTCTCACACTGTAGCTTTTGATGTTTTCTACCAAAACATTTATGAAAGATAATATTATTAAACAATATTTTAAAACATTTTGACTAAAACATAATAATCGTTGAAAGGGCATATAATAATTATTCCTTAGTTTAACAAATGTGTTGGGATGATACTGAACTAGTTTCTTATAATAGTAGCAAGACCTAAATAAATAAATACGTGTATGTTCTTCTTTGCATTTCATAAGATCTGCAGGTGTTGAAATTAATCTCATAAAGTTTTCTTTTTAAAATATGGTAGTTTCCATAAACGTGTCCAGTGAAGAAAGTAATAGTTAATTTGAGTTCATGTTTAATTAGATTAAATCTTGTTGACCTGGATCCCTTTTAATGAAAACTTTCTACGAAAATAATTATTATTTTTGAAAAAGATATATGATCGCCAAGTTTGGAGAAGTGTGACTTTTATTTTATATGATTTTTTATTATTTGACATGCTGTACACCTATTATATACTTACAATTAGGTAAAAGTGCACCGGCCCTATGCTCCACACGGAAAGGAGGACTACAGTAAGTAAGTAAGTAAGAGTGCACCGACATTGAAAGAAACCACTTAAACCTAATGCAAAAAGAATGTACTGTAAAACTACATTGTTAACCTTAAAATGATCTTTTTTTAAATAAAGTTCTATTTTTATCTAAGAAGACCAAAACACATCCCATTTATGTAGGAATATTTGCTGGAAGATGTCACAAATTTACTGATGGTGTATTTTCTGCATAGATTCTCATAAGTAACGAAATCAACAATGCTATATTTTTCTCCTAAAAAAATTAATTGAACTATTTGGTTTTTTTTCTATAAAGATGGTATATAAACGCAAATAATAATTTTAATTTTTCTTTGCTTTACTTTCACAATTTAAAAATTTCATAATTTTTCGATTTGGACTAGATTTTTATAGGGCAACGTTGAAGTAAAATTTTTTATTTTTATATATCTATATAGTAAGTTTCTACATACTTTTCAAACTTCAAATAACTTAAAAACTATATTTAAAGCTATTAATTTACAATTTTTCTATTTTCTTATTTTAATTTTTTTTTATTCAAAGTTATTAATTTCTTCTTCATTTTCTTTTTTTTTATAATTTTATTCAAGTTTTTCACATTTTTCGTAATACATATACGCTTTTATATTTCCAAAATGCCTTTTGTTGGTAATCATATTTATAAGATACCTCCGATTCAACCAGACAATACTTCCTGTAGCAGTTATTCCTCAGATACAAGTTCAAGTTGTGATTCCTACAACAGTTATGGATCTCATATCAGTTATGCTTCTCACAGCACCCATGATACAAACAGAGAACTCTCTATGCATAGCGCTCACAAAAATCATGACAGCAAGGATCAACCTAGCGAGCTAAGTATTTATAGCGCCCAAAGTGGATATCGTATTGAGGGTGGTTATGGCGCTAAAAGTAATCGCAGCGGTCAACGAAGAAATAGTGTTCGAAGTCATCAGAATCCGGCACAAAGTCATGGGAGCCACGTTAAGGTACAGAGTCATAGGCAAGGTGATCACCTCACTCATAAACTTACGCGTTCTACTCATTCTGCTCGATCTAGTCATAGTACTTATGAAACGGAAATGAGCTCTGACAGTAGCAGTGATATTTTGTCATCGAAAACACATGGTCATTCTACCAACTACTCAGATAGCACCCGTAAATTGTCATATGCTAGTACAGATAAGGCTTATGTACTATCTACAGTTTTAAAGGAACACCTCAATATGGAAAATATAGATTTAAGTGAATCTACAGCATCTCACTCTAGTGAATTAAGTCATACGGAGTTTGAAACACCAATTACATTTGATCCAGACACCTTTTTTTCAAATATTGAAAAAATACCAAGCGTAAACGAAGTTTCATTAACTTCATCGCACGAGTATAAAGTAAAAGTAGAAGCTACGCCGGATGATAATATAGGACGTTTTGTGGATCCTCTAACAGGTGAAGTGCTAACATCAACGTCATCATCTCCTTCAGTAGAAGGAACAGCTGTAATAAGTTTACATGAAAAATTATCTGACGAATGGGGAGAAATAGTTGAAGAAAAAGATATAGCTGAGTTACACATTGATTTGCCTGAAGTACCGTATGATCAAACAATAGACAAAGAAATTCTCGACACGAAGACGCAAACGGATGAAGAAGTTTTTACTCAATTATACACTGAAATATTTAAACCTATACAATTGCTGGAAAAAGACACAAAACTCAAAGAAGAACAAGAAAGAAAAGAAATGCTACAGGAAGCAATTAACCAATTTGTTACTGATTTAGTTAATAAAGTTGTAGAAAAATGCGAACGTCATGCTAATGATCCCAAGAGAATATTACGTAATACCTTAGATAAAGTAGCTCTAGCAGATGAGTTAATGAATAAACTGGTAGATTTAGAGAAGGCGAACAAATGTCATATATTTTTAAATCGCAAAGCAGTTGATTATTTCCGTCGTAAGAAAGCTTTTAGCAGCTTGGAAGAGGAAGGAAGAGGCAAGAAAGATCATACAGGAGATGAGAAAAAATATGGTCAGATTATTAAACACTTAAATAATTTACTTTGCCGTCAAAAAGAAATGACAATCGTAACTAATGAGAAAATAGATGAATTAAACCAAAAAAAAACAGATTTACAATCCCAACTTGATGATGTAGCAACTGGATTTGAAACCATGATTTGGGATTTTTTCGGTCGTAAAATATCAGATAATGCACGGAACGTAAGTTTGCGTATGTATTCTTCTTAGTCTCCGTTTCCTCTAGTAGGGCATAGGACCGCAACGATTCTCTTAAACCACACTTTGTTAGGTGCTTCTTTGCATATTTCGTCCTGCTTTCAATTGTCTTGCTCACAGTTAAAACCGGTGTAGTAGGAGTCTGCTGCGTTATAGGTTCCACGTCAAAGCTTGTCGTGGAATGTATTTATTTGGTCGTCGTATAGTATGCCTCATCCAATTCCATTTTCGCATTTTTATTTCATTTTTGCGTATGTATAAGTAAATATTTATAAATTATTTTTCATTTTAGTTTGTAGAAAAGAAACTTTCACGTATAAGAGACTTAAGAGCTGATATATCTGAAGCACGTAGTGCCTTAATAGAAAAACAACACAGTATGGCAAGACTATCCAAGGTAAAGTTAACAGTATTTAAAAATTTATTTTAATGAACTAGTTTAAACTAATTGTTAAAAAAGCGACTCGAAGAATTGGAAAATCTTGGTAATGGCTTATATATGCGTGATTTCGAGAATATGCAAAGAGAAACAATTTCCCTTAACAAAAAACTTGAAGGTATTTAATTCTTGTTTATTTATTCAATTGAAAGTATTTATTGAAAACATTAACAAATTTCTACTTTAGAACGAACGAATGAATTTGAGAAATATTCCAGACGATGCAATAATCAAATTCATGCCTCTACACATTTGAGAGAAAAAGTTTTGCTAATGCGCGACCACGTCACCGCTCAAGAGCTTGAACTAAGAGAATTATTAGAAGAAAAGCAATTAATACGTGAGGAATTAAGAAAACTTAAAATAAAACGTATTAAATTGTATAAGGACATACGTGAACTAAGCTTTCAGTGTGGTTTGTTGGATAAGCCAGCCCTGTTACTCGATTATGATGACACCCTTGATCGACTTAATGCCACCAAAGCTAACATTATTCAAATAAAATCAAAATTATCCGACCTACAACTAAAAATTAAAACAGCCGAAGAAAAGCTTTCAGCACAACATTAACTAACCATTTAAGAGACTCTAAGAAGATGTTACCGTTCTCTAAAATTTCTGGTACTTGAGATAGGTATTTAAAAGATATAGACAGTTTAAGTCTCTAACGAAAAATTATTTACATGTTACGATAAGAAAATTTATATTAATTTCTTTCTTTTTCTCTAAACTCATTATGATTTTGTATCTGAAGCCAACTGGGTTCAAGTTTATATAATATATAAGATAAACTTTACCAAATTCAAAATATTTGAATATATAATTTTATGGAATTATCGCAAACTTGTCTGATATGAAAAAAATTACAGTATTACATTTTGTTAGTTATATAAATTAAAATTAAAATTGTTTACAAAAAAAAATTATAAAAAATTATAGTATAGACACCTCAAAATGAGAAAGGGCAGCAAAATATAATTCTTACAAGTTTCAAAGAGTTTCCAAATGCTTTAAATATCATTCATTGATTTGATAGCAATTAAAATTTAAGAATGTAAATTTAAATAATAATTATATTAATTTTTATCAAATCAAGTCCAATAAATCAAAACTATAACATAGTTGGCTTCAGATTCAAAGCAGATTTTAGAAATAATAAAGAACTTAATATAAATACTTTTATCTGATACTTTATAAAATAATCCATGTATCTATTAAAGCTATACTTAGTAAAATAATAATTAAACAATAAAAAATTGAAAGTTTATTAAAATGAAGTATTTCTAATATGTTTCAGAATTGAGCAAATTATAATATCTCAAACGTATCTAAATCAATTGATTTCTTAAATTGAATCACTTTTTCAAATCTTGAAAATAACAAATCTTCTAAAATATGATTAATTTAATTTAATTTTTTTTTATATAAACTTAAAGAATTTATTGAAAATGGTCATAACTTAAACAATAAAATCTTTAAAGGACCATTTTCCTTTAACTGTTATCTGCAGAAAAATCATTCCACAATATATATGTTTATTTAGTTTTATTAAATCTCTGCAAGTTTTTAAATATATGTAAGACCAGATATTTTTTACCATTATCACTTTTATCATTTGAACAACTTACCTTTTGGTCGGACGCATGCACGCGAATGGAAGTTACCTCACGAAAAGTGTCTGATAAATACATTTATGTAAATATATATATATATCTGTATATATATGTTATCTATGTTATATATATATATATATATATATATATATATATTTAGATGAAATGATATATATATTATATATATATGTATATATATATATCTGTATATATACATACATACTATGATATATATTTATATTAATATATATATATATAATTTAATTATCATTTAAATCATTTGAATTGCGACAAAAAAACATTAATAATAAATCAAATAGTTGTGGACCTAAGCTTAATGTACTGAAATTAAAGCAGATAATTCTAAAGAAATTGTCTTGAATATAAACATTTCTACAATATTATGATAATCTAACAGAATTATCACAATCCAAATCACTTATTGGCATGGATGGATTTATCAAAATAAAGACTTGAAATCATCACAGCAATCTTAACAGGACACTGTAAGCTAAAACACCACCTTACGAGACTGTGCATATATACGGATGCAAACTGTAGATTTTGCGAAGAGAATGAAGAAACAACCACACATATACTATGTGAGACTCACTCTGAGCCAAGAAAGGGGTACAATAAACCCGATACTCAGAACACCACATTTCCTCTTAATAATAATAATAAACATTTCTACGAGAACATTTCCTATATTATGGTTACGAAGGAGAGGGTAGAGCAATCATTTTTAGAGTCAGTGGAATAAAACCTACAAGCTCCTAGATTCAAAGTTCAATTGTAAATGGTTTGGCAAAGAATAATTTCTCAACAGACTAAAGAAATTAAAAAAATCTACTTCATACTTATATCCATGTAGGTTTTGAATTAAGTATACACGTAGCATAGAAACCGCTATAGAAAACCTTAGACTAGAATAATAAACGTGTGATACCATAAGCCCTATCTTAACCCTACGGTCAGCCGTGCCCATTTCCTATGCCCTGACCCATATAAAATCATCATAAACTACGTTAATAATATTTTCTGCAAATTATAAATACGTCATTAATATTAGTATGCATCGTAAAACAATTATTTTGGCAAATAAACATAGATATCTTTATTTGAGATGGAAAATCTGGATAAGTTTAGATTATTTTCAGAAAACGGGACTCATTTAGTCTAAACTGCATCACACACATCAGTACGCAACATTGACTGAAAGAATATTCGAAACCTTCAAGACCTCTTTTTTTATTGACCTGACAGAGCTGTCACGCTTTAAAATTAGGGGCATAATCAAGTGTATATACTACTCAAGTAATCCTTTTTTCACTTAAGTGAGAGAGTAGCTATATCTCAAAGGAACATTGTTCGTACGCTAGATATTTGAGACTTTTAACTTTTTACTGTTTCTTAAAATTTGGCGTATAGACGGTGTCTGATCTGTGGTGTCAATAAGGATCTTTATTCATACTGCAACCTGATTTAACCTAAAAATATTGTTACTAATAATAACAATTCAATAAGACCGTAATCTTAGAATAAGTTAAAATTTCATATCCCTGACATAGTACAGTTCATATCAAGTAATTCCATTTCCACTTATATGAGAGAGTAGTAAATGTTCGTCACAAAGGATCATTGTTCATGCACTAATTATTTGGAACTTTTACTTTCAAAGTCTTTGTTTGTTGATGTACAGATGATGTCTGTTTCGTGGTATAAAAAAGAATTTTTATTCATACTCCAACTTGGCTTAACCTTAATACATTCTTACTGACAATAATAATCCCAACTGTGAAGCATTAAACATATAAGCATATATCCATTTGAGACTGTATTCTCAGAATAAGTAAAAATTTATTTACTTGACATTGTACAGTTCATGTCAAGTAATTCTATAATGAATTTTCAAAAACTCTAAGTCCAAATGAAAATAACTATTAGTAATCCTTCTAAAAGTGGATCACTCAGTGAGCATATAAAAGAGTATTCCTGCATTTAATGGCTCTGACGTGGAATGGTTCTGACACAAAAAATATTTTATTATAAAAAATTTTATTTTTACTTATTGAAATTATTTATATGTGTATGCATGTGTGTATATATATAAAATTTATTTTCAACGAATTTTTTTAACTAACAACAAAGAAAACAAAATAACAGAAAAATATTTAACAAAATTATAAACTTAAGATTTTCACGGTCAACAAAGAGAATAAATAAAAAGCGAAGATAATTTACGTTGATCTAATGTGGGTGTAT